TATATATATATATATATATATATATATATATATATATATATATATATATATATATATATATATATATATATATATATATATGTGTGTGTGTGTGTGTGTGTGTGTGTTTGCGCCGTACATTTGGAAGGAAAATTCACGGATTGTTCGAAGGAAATTGAACAGTAATCTAAGATGTGGATACAGCCTGGAAATTGAATCCAGTGCTAGAAATATTGAGGAAGATAGTGCTGAACAGTAATCTAGATGTGGATAGAGCCTGGAAATTGAACCAGTGGTGTTGACTTCTTCGGCGTTCTAGTAGCTCCAAGAGCTCAGACGTCATTGCTGAAGCCAGCCAATCTCCTCGTACTCGAACTATTCAACCGTAGATGAGCTCCTGCTACTGCAGTCATCGTCCTCCATGAGGCTGGCCGTTTCAAGCTTGGGATGGGGCGCGGGCGGGCTGCTACTCTTGGCGTGCGCCGTGTGGGCGCTGAACTGGGCGTGGTGGAGGCCGAGACGACAGGAGCGGGCGCTCCGGTCGCAGGGACTCCATGGAACCCCTTACCGCCTACTCCGCGGCGACCTCAAGGAGGACGCGCGGCTCCTCGCAGAGGCGCGCTCCAAGCCCATGCCCCTTTCCCATCACATCATCCCCCGCGTCGCTCCTCTGCTCCACGCCGCCATGAACGAATTCGGTAAGTTGTTCGATGTCATTGATGCCTTCACTTGTGCTGAAGACAATCTGCGGTCTCGAATGCAGGTAGAACATCCTTTACCTGGTTCGGACCTGTACCTCGAGTGACCATCACGGATCCCCAATCGATACGGGGAATTCTATCGAACAAGTTTGGTCATATGGGACGATCAAACATAAGCCCTTTCAGACGACTTTTAGCTACTGGAGTTCTAAGCTACGAAGGCGAAAAGTGGGCCAAACATAGGAGGATTCTAAACCCTGCTTTCCATTTCGAGAAGTTAAAGGTAATCCATAGTTTTCGGTGACACTTCAAACATATCTCAAATGAATTCTTTGCTTACTGTTCATACACTTCCTCTTGTCCTCTGTCGGGTTCACAGCGAATGCTGCCAGCGTTCTCAGTATGTTGTAGTGATCTGGTCAGCAGATGGGAGAAACTGGTTGGGCAGGAGGGATCTTGTGAGTTGGATGTGTGGCCCGAGTTACAGAATTTTACAGGAGATGTCATCTCGCGAGCAGCTTTTGGTAGCAGCTACGAAGAAGGTAGACGAATCTTCGAGCTCCAAGCTGAGATTGCGGAACTCATCATGCAAACCGGCAAAACTGCAGTGTATGTCCCAGGTTACAGGTGAGCGCCGCTTCTTTTTGTTTTTGTTGGATTCCAATTAATTAGATGAGATATGTTATATATTCTGATTATAGTTATTGGTCAAGCCAAATTAGGATATAATTTTTTTAAAAGATAATATTGATGAGAAAGACTTTCTTAATTACTTATCTATCCTCGCCTATAAATAGATATAATATTATAAAAATTTCTACGAGATAATTTTGATGGGAAAAACTCTTTTAATTATTTATTTTATATCATTTACTCTTGCTTATAAATAGATAAAACGTACTCAATATCTGACACTAAGTTATATTTATCTTATACTCTCTACTCTTGCCTATCTCATTTCTCTTTGATTTCTATTTCAATTTCATGATCATATGAAAGATAGAAAAAGATATGTTTACTAGTTTTACCCTTCGAAAATTAATTATTTTAATTTATGCCCTTAATTGCGAAATTACTATTATACTTTCATGAAATTGATTATTTTTTATTGATATCCTTTGTTTATAATTTTGCATTTTTGATTTGACAATATTATCTTAGTAGCTATAATTTGATAATAATAAATTGTCATAAAATTATTTTAATTTTTTGATAATAATATTATCAAATAATTTTTTATATTTTAATTTTAAATTTTATTTATATCTTATCAATTAATGGACCAAGTGAGAGAATATTATATTATGTGATCCTATCTAATTAGGTAAGATATATCATGGATCTGACTAGATTTTGATTATAGTTATTAGTCAATAAAAAGAAAATCCAATTATTAAAAAATTCCTTATGAGATAATATTGATGAGAGGGATTCTCATGATTATTTATCTTAGACACTATATCCTCGCTTATAAATAGATAAAATCTCTTAGTGAACAACTTAATAAAGATGTTCAAATAGATAGAACATTGGCATCACTACTTCTTTCAAATTAGATGATGGTGTATATCATATAAAGATTTTCTAAATAACATCAAAAGGTATTCAATCATAATATTAATCATAATATTTGATCTATCATTATTTGATTTCAGTTTTTAATATTAAACTCGTGAAAAGTGAATTTTAAAAAAAAATGCTATGCTTAGCAAAGCCACCTTTGGATTAGAATCCCCTCCTCTCTTTCCTTTTCCAACTGCTAAGGATCCTACGCACTCAGCTTTCTCTTAACGGAAGATCGAAATCCTTACAAAAGGCTTTACAAAGCTTTCGTCTCGATTCAAGTATATTTCGCTTCTCCGACATCTTACTTAGTATCCTTTGAATCTTTTAGCAAAAAATATTTTTCATATAATAATATAATTATAATTTTTGTGCTTATACTGTTCACTCAAGATTTACCTTCATCGCAAGCTCTGCTGTATCACAGATTTCTACCCATACTAAAGAATAGGAGAATAAAAGCGATCAGTAAAGAGGTTCGATCACTTCTAAGGGGTATAATAAGGAAGAGGGAGGAGGCTATAAAAAGGGGTGAAGCAAGCACCGATGACCTCCTGGGCTTGTTGATGGAGTCCAATACAAAGCACTTGCATGAAGGCGGGAACAAGAATGCTGGAATGACCATCGATGAAGTGGTCGAGGAATGTAAGCTATTCTACTTTGCAGGGCAAGAGACGACTGCTGTCTTGCTAACATGGACGATGGTGGTCTTGAGCATGCATCCCCTGTGGCAAGCAAGGGCCAGAGAGGAGGTCCTACAGGTCCTTGGGAAAGACAAGCCAGAGTTCGATGCCTTGAGCCATTTAAAGATTGTGAGTGCTCTGCTTTTAGGAAAATGCAGAGCAGAGTAGAGTCTAAACAATCGCCGTGGCAGGTGACGATGATACTATACGAGGTTCTTCGGCTGTACCCACCACTGGCGCTCATCCAGAGGAGAACATACAAGACGGTGGAAATCGGAAACATAGCTTACCCACCGGGAACATTGCTCGCATTGCCCATAATCTTCATTCACCATGACCCAGCCTTGTGGGGCGAAGATGCAAGCGAGTTCAAACCAGAGAGATTCGCAGAGGGGATCGCAAAGACATCGAGAGATCAGACTGCTTTCTTTCCGTTCGGCGGAGGTCCTCGTGTTTGCATGGGTCAGAATTTTGCGTTGCTGGAAGCAAAGATGGGATTGAGTACGATTCTCCAAAGATTTTGGTTTGAGCTCTCACCATCGTACGCTCATGCTCCACGCACTGTCATGACTCTTCAACCCCAACACGGCGCTCAACTGAGGTTGCACAGACTTTGAATCATCTCTTCTTTGTGGCCCTGTTTTATGTTGTAATTTAATGTGAAGTGGAGAGTTATGGAACCACCTTAATATGAGTTGTATAAATAATCTTATCAACTATAAACACTAATGATCTTATAAGAAAGCCACTAGTAGTTTGAAAATAAATTTATATTTCACATAATTTCTAAAATCATCTCTGAATTATAATCTTCCCAAATCATCACAAAATATAACCAAATAACTATAGAAAATAAAAAAGAAATCCTTTCCATACCATACTATAGATGAATTTAGCATATTATTTTCTATATTGATAACAAGATTAAGAAAAAAGAAAGAAGATATCAATGACACGGGACTATGATATGAAAGGATGATATCAATAACATAACTACGCGGAGAATGGAAAAGAATCTCTATAGTCTCCTGATGAGCATTACTTACCACCTTTGATTGATCAGAATATTGGTAACCATTTATTGATTAGGTACATGCGTTCCTTGTTTTTAAGCTAAAATAGTGCGAGAGCATTTACCTGTTATAGTTAATATGGGAGTGAGAAAGATCTAAAACAACTCTGATTTGATAATTATTGTTTTTATGATAGATAAAAAAAATATTATTCCTTGATCACTATCCAATTGTATGCATGACATTTGATATCAATTGAGATTTTTAGACATATTCCGCTAATCATATTTATAAAAAAAATTAATTACATGATTAACTAACTAATCGATCATATTAGAATTACTAAAACTTCTTTTGAAAAGGAGAGGGTCCTCCCATCTTTTATCTTCATTTTGCTATGATACTAGGTGATTTTTCTTGTCGTTTGATTTACCATAATAATTTTTTTGAGATATATATATATATATATATATTTGTGTGTGTGTGTGTGTGTGTCGTCGCCCACCTGTTTGTCCATTTGCTGTGGCATTGGAAAGTGTGTGTGTGTGTGTGGTCGCCCACCTGTTTGTCCATTTGCTGTGGCATTGGAAAGTGTGTGTGTGTGTGTGTGTGGTCGCCCACCTGTTTGTCCATTTGCTGTGGCATTGGAAAGTGTGTGTGTGTGTGTGTGTGGTCGCCCACCTGTTTGTCCATTTGCTGTGGCATTGGAAAGTCCTAGGCTGTGCAAGTCAACCCGAGGGCGTCGCCATTTCACCCACCAAAGAGATAAGGTCGCGTTACAGCAGCCGAATCCATCACCAGACCGCGGCAGCCTTCTCTCTTCTCGCTCTTTGCTGCTTAACTCCATGGCGCTGTCCGTATTACTGGAGAGGCCGTGGAGCCTGGGATTGGGCGTGGCGTGGCTGCTGCTCTTGGCCTGCGCCGTGTGGGCGTTGAACTGCGCGTGGTGGAGGCCTAGGCGACAGGACCGCTTGCTCCGGGCGCAGGGACTCCAAGGCACTCCTTACCGCTTCCTCCGCGGCGACCTCAAGGAGGACGAGCGCCTCCTCGCGCAGGCGCTCTCCAAGCCCATGCCCCTCTCCCACCACATCATCCCTCGCGTCGAACCTTTCCTCCACGCCGCTATGAACGATCTCGGCAAGTCCTCTTGGCTGTTGCTGTCTCCCTCCCCCTTCTCCTCCTTTTGCTTTGCCAACTCTCAGTTGTTTCAGCAAGCTGTTCGATTCCATCACCAACAGAAGGATTGAGAAATCACTTCATGCACTGAACTAGATGAAACAAACATTACATATCAATTCATAGATTTCAGTAGGCATATATACTTTCTTGAGGCCGACAATTGACCTTCTTTAGATTTCCAACTTGAGAACAGATATCAAGTGTGAGCCATGCACTGACTTGTGAGCGAAGTCTTATGCTGTGTTAAGAACAAACCTGTAGTCTCAATTGCAGGCAGCAGATTCTTCAGCTGGTTTGGACCTGTGCCACGAGTGATGATCATGGACCCGGAATTTGTGAGGGAAATCCTATCGAACAAGTTTGGTCATTTTGAACGAGAAACTCTAAGCCCCGTCGGACGAGCTTTAGTTACTGGTCTTTTAAGCTATAATGGGGGAAAGTGGGCCAAACACAGGAGGATTCTGAACCCTGCTTTCCATGTCGAGAAGTTAAAGGTAATCAATCATCCATGGTTCTCTCCTTTGGACACATCTCAATCTTAACTTGCGGCTGATACGATTTTAGATAATTCAAATGCCTCATAATTTGTTGTAATTCGCAGCGGATGTTGCCGGCGTTCTCTACTTCTTGTGGTGATCTCGTCGGCAGATGGGAGAATTTGGTCGGCCAGGAGGGATCCTGTGAATTAGATGTTTGGCCTGAGTTCCAATACTTCACCGGAGACGTCATTTCACGAGCAGCTTTCAGCAGCAACTACGAAGAAGGTAGACGAATTTTCCAACTCCAACTCGAGCTCGCTCAACTCGTCGTTCAGGCTATCCACAGTGCTTATATACCGGGTTACAGGTGAGCTCCTTCTGTGTCCATGTTCCAGTCGAAGAACAACGAAGACTATATGACTCTGGATGCTCTTTAACTTGCAAATATTAGAATTCTTGCGATTACTGGCTCTAATTGCTGCTTTGTACGTGGCACAGATTTCTGCCTACCCCAATGAATAACAGAATAAAAGCGATCAATAAAGAGATTCGATCACTTCTACGAGGTATAATAAGGAAGAGAGAGGAAGCTATGAAAACTGGTGAAGCAAGCGGCCAAGATCTCTTGGGCTTGTTGATGGAGTCCAATATCAAGCAATTCCAGGAGCATGGGAACAAGAATGCTGGGATGACCATCGATGAAGTGGTTGATGAATGCAAGCTATTCTACTTTGCAGGCCAAGAAACAACTGCTATCTTGCTTACATGGACGATGGTGGTCTTAAGCATGCATCCCGAATGGCAAGAAAGGGCTAGAGAAGAGGTCCTGCAGGTCCTTGGGAAAGACAAACCAGAGATCGATGGTTTGAACCGTTTGAAGATTGTGAGTGCTCTGCAATTACGCTAATCAGCTTTCTTTTAGGTAAATGCAGGGTCTAAACAATTGCTGTGGCAGGTGACGATGATACTATACGAGGTTCTTCGGTTGTATCCACCTCTGCTACTCATCCAGAGGAGAACATACAAGACGGTGGAAATCGGAAACGTATCGTACCCACCAGGAACACTGCTCGCAATGCCCATAGTTTTCCTTCACCATGACCAAATCTTGTGGGGCGAAGATGCAAGTGAGTTCAAACCAGAGAGATTCGCGGAAGGGATAGCAAAGGCGTCGAGAGATCAGGTTGCTTTCTTTCCGTTCGGCGGGGGTCCTCGCGTTTGCATCGGTCAAAATTTTGCGTTGCTGGAAGCTAAGATGGGATTGAGTACGATTCTTCAAAGATTTTGGTTTGAGCTCTCACCATCGTATGCTCATGCTCCTCACAATGCCGTCACGCTTCGACCTCAACATGGTGCTCAACTGAGATTGCACAAACTTGGAGTCGTCTCGTAACAAGCAGAATCTCACTTGGGAGATTATGGTTCTGCGATGCTTTGGTGCTTTATTTACCGTGTATTGTAAAAGGCTATTTGTAGTTTGGATTAGAAAAATGAAGTGGTGGTTAATATTGTGCAATGTTATTGTCATTTAAGACTAAAGCATGTAAAATGAGAGAAAACTCTATCGCTTATCTTATGCACTCATAGATATATTTAATATATTTAATTAAATTCTCAATGGTTCGTAATATTTAAATCATTATAATAATATTATTATAACTGTTATAGTAGATATGATGTAGCTTACAGTATCACTAATGTGTTATTACTTTAGTTGCTAATATTATATACTATCCAATAATAATCTTATTTTCATATCAACACACCATCTATTGATATTTGGTGGAGATCGAAATCTTGTGAATACCTAATTGACAAACGATCTAGTGTCTTTTACGAGCAATTATAATAAACAAATACAACCACCACGACCACCCAAGTTTTACTATAAAATTGGTCACCAAAATATACCCAGTGACATTAGAGAAAAATAGGTTCATCAGTCTAGTCTGACATGTTCGATTGGTTTGAATTATCCAAAACTAATACTAATTTGAATAGTAAAAGAAGCATTGTTAAGATCACTTCTGATTTAGTTTTATAGGATAGAGAATCCAACTTGGTGTGTTTTACTAAAGATAAACTCGAAAATAAGTCGGTTGGATATGAGTTAGTTTCCAACTCAAACAATTCAAAATCACTCTAATAGAACCAAATGGAAGCTTACAAAAAATCTAAGCATTTCAATTATCTTTCTAAGTATATCCATATAAGCTACTCGTTATCATTAACAAAAAAATAAGGTTAGTTGCCATTCTCGATCAACAATTGTGCTATATTTAGAACTTTCAAACCTATAATTATGATATCAAAGAATGAAATACTCATACAGAACATCTTTGGTAAAGTCTAATGACTAGATACTCTATTGAGACGACATAATCATGTCTCCACACGAGCAACTATGAGACTAACGCTTTTATCATATGGACGGATATACAACACACCAATCCATTCGATTATCTCAATGTCCCTATCAAGTAACGAAATTATTTAAGGTATACAACACACCAATCTATTCGATTATCTCAATATCCTTGTCAAGTAACGAAATTATTTAAGGTCTATGTTTAAAGGCGAATCAGTCTCATTATCGCGATCTCATCACAATTCGATTCCTATTGCATAGATCCATGAACATCATAACGAACAATATAAAGTGAAAAAAAAATCAAATATAAAATAAGCAAAAAGAGTATATATTATGTCACACGTGTTATCTATGACTCATCCATAGGATCCAATAATTCATGGGTTTATTGGATATTCAATAAGATAGGGGCTCCAACAAATATCTCATATCTAAACCTCTACTCGTCGTAACACCTACCATATGTGTGTGACCCTTGAGACCCAATATCGAGCTGGCCGTAAGTTATACCTATTAGAACTTTTTTTTGCTCAATGAACTATTATCCTCATAATAATTCACTTGACTCATCAACTGTGGACGTACTATGCCACTATACCGTAGTCCCCAAACGATATAGGGGAATCTAATATATTGGATCTGTCAATCATTAGTTATTGTATATATATAATCCCTCATCGATTTAATACCCCAGAGATTATATATCGGACATGGTGCTATCAGGCCCATACGGTTTCTACTTGAGTATCGCTCTAATCAGATTCTCCCGGAGAACTTTTTCTCCCTCAATCTGAATGACCCTATCCAAAGATTTATCTAAGAACACATACGATATTCCTCTCATGACATCAAGAGTGGAGGATCCTATATAAACACTTAATAGCCTTCATAAAATTGGTTGCCCCTCTCGATGATTGGTTGTGTTAAATATGAAACTTTCATACCTATAAGTCTAGTATCAAAGAGTGTAGTACTTATACAAGACATTCTTGGTATCTCAAGTTTAAGGATCGGATACACCACTGGAATGACGGAATTGTTATTTGACAATAAGGCATCATCAATCATCAAACATTTCATGAGCGAATCAATCAATGAACTCATTCTCAAATGAGCATATGCATTATATCCCTAGTATCCCCACATAAGTAGTTATGAGACCAACCGTCTCCATTATATGGATGAGTATATAGTACAACTAATCTGTCCGGTTATCTCGATGTCTCTCTGGAGTAACTTATGATCGAGATTATTTAGGGTACGTATTTAAAGGCGAATCAATTTCATTATCGTGATCTTATTACGATCTAATTTCCATTGCATAGATTCATAAACATCACAATATATATATACAATAAACAATATAAAGTAAATAATAATAATAATAATAATAATAATAATAATAATAATAATAAATATATATCATGTCATAATCGTCATCACTTATGTGACTGACTTTTAGGACACCTATAACTAACACTATATCAAACGTCAATAATATTTTTTTCTCCGCACCTATCTCTCACACTCCTCCTTTGCCCATCACCTGTCACTCCTCTGCTCATTCACTTCCAATATTACTTGATGACTCAATGCAAGTGAATAAAGATGTCGTTAGAAGGAAAGCAGGGTAAAGAAAAGAAAAGGAAAATAGCAAGGTATAGAAAAGAAAAAAAATATTTACATTCATTTATGAAGTTTCTTTATAATATTAAAAACTTTTAAAATGAGACAGATGATTGCTAATATAAATCTATAAATTTAAATAAAAAAACTTTTATAGTATCATTTGATTAATATTTAATAAAAAAATTTATAATACCCATAATTGAGAATCATGTGTGGTTTAATCATTAAACTATAATTTGAGCCCTTTTTTTTTCTACCTGATTGTGACCAATATATAGTTTTATTTTTTTTTAAGTTTAGCTCTAATATAATGTTAGAAATTGATGAGTATAAGTTAACATGTATCATTTTAAATACGAACTCATTCCAAATACTTAGACTTATTATGTTGTGAATCAAATATAATATATATCATCCGAATTCTTAAGATTATTTTTTAATCTCTTCAAACATGAATATTGGCTAACAGACTCAATAAGTATCTAATAAACATTAAAGTAGATAAGCAAATACAAGGGCAATCAGAACATGTATAAGATACATCCAATGTTGCACAGAGATTGTTTTCCATGGCGAGTATGAAATCATAGGATTTCTAGATAACACAACTAAAGATAGACTAAACAAAGACTTAGTTGGCAAACATTAGTGATAACTCCACATAGACTAAACTGAAACTCACTTAGCAAACAAACTAATGAACGCAAAGATTCACACTCAACGTAAAGCTTGGGTTGACTGTTCGACTGATACAAGATAAGAAGATAGGTGGCACATGATGTTCATAGAAGATATAGCAAATCTTCTATTGGAAGCTTTTGTAATATCATATAGTGTAAAGAAGATATTACAAGCAACACAGGCCGGATGAATGACCCTAAGATGGATTGGTGGCATTGTTTATAGGAGCTCTCGGTGTTATCTTAAATTAAATTAAAATTTTCTGTTGGAAGCCTTTGTAACATCGCCTCTTGTTTTTGAATCATTTATTTAGTATTTGTCATTCAAATTCTTGTGTTCTTTATGATTCTACTATTGAATCAATCGATCGTTGTATCTTTTGGTGTCCTTTCTCTTCGAATCCAAACTCGAGGTAAACTTTTTCTTCTTGTATGGACAAAGGTAAATGGTAAATGATTTGATGAAGATAGTTTGGATGGTCAGAACATTTGGGTTTTGATCGCTATTGGCCTTTGGTGTAGTTGGCGTGCAAGGAATGATATGGTTTTTAATCAAATTGTCTCATCTCCTAGCAAGATTTTATATAAAAGAAATAATAATAATAATCTTAGCTGATGACGAGGCTAAATTACCTGATGGCATTCTGTATGAAAAAGTTTAGTGCGGATGGCGATGGCTACACTGTGTGAGTCACCAGAGGGTGTCGCCATTTCACCCACCCATGGGATAAGGTCGCGTTACAGCAGCCGAATCCATCCATCACCGGACCGCTGCAGCCCTTCTCCCTTCTTGCTCTTTGCTGCTTTACTCCATGGCGCTGTCCGTATCAGTGGAGAGGCTGTGGAGCTTGGGATGGTGTGTGCCGTGGCTGCTGCTCTTGGTCTGCGCCGTGTGGGCGCTGAACCACGCGTGGTGGAGGCCCAGGCGACAGGACCGCTTGCTCCGGGCGCAGGGACTCCAAGGCACTCCTTACCGCTTCCTCCGCGGCGACCTCAAGGAGGACAAGCGCCTCCTCGAGGAGGCGCTCTCCAAGCCCATGCCCCTCTCCCACCACATCGTCCCTCGCGTCGAGCCTTTCCTCCACGCCGCTATGAACGATCTCGGCAAGTGCTCTCGGCCGCTGCTGTCTCCCTCCCCCTTCTCCTCCTTTTGCTTTGCCAACTCTCAGTTGTTTCAGGAAGCTGTTCGATTCCATCACCAACTGATCGATTGAGAAATCACTCCATGCACTGAACGAGATGAAACAAATACTACATATCATTTCATTGATTTTAGTAGGCATATATACTTTCTTGAGGCAGACAATTGACCTTCTTTAAATTTCCAACTTGAGAACAGAAATCAAGTGTGAGCCATGCGCTGATTTGTGAGCGAAGTCTTATACGATGTTAAGAACAAATCTGTAGTCTCAAATGCAGGCAGCAGATTCTTCAGCTGGATTGGACCAGTGCCACGAGTGATGATCATGGACCCGGAATTGGTGAGGGAAATCCTATCGAACAAGTTTGGTCATTTTGATCGAGCAAGTCTAAGCCCCCTCGGACGAGCTTTAGGTACTGGTCTTTTAAGCTATAATAGGGGAAAGTGGGCCAAACACAGGAGGATTCTGAACCCTGCTTTCCATGTCGAGAAGTTAAAGGTAATCAATCATCCATGGTTCTCTCCTTTGGACACATCTCAATCTTAACTTGCGGCGGATACGATTTTAGATAATTCAAATGCCTCATAATTTGTTGTAATTCGCAGCGGATGTTGCCGGCGTTCTCTACTTCTTGTGGTGATCTCGTCGGCAGATGGGAGAATTTGGTCGGCCAGGAGGGATCCTGTGAATTAGATGTTTGGCCTGAGTTCCAATACTTCACTGGAGACGTCATTTCACGAGCAGCTTTCAGCAGCAACTAC